CCCTTTTGATGTCTTTAAGTAGAATTCACCATTTTATAATTATGTTCCCTCCCTGTTCAATGTAAAAATAAATAAAAATAGAAACAAAAAAAAGCTGTCATTACTAGATGCCTACCCAAAATAAAAAGGGTCGTTAAACCAACTCTTAAAATAACATGATTACATTTTGAATTCAATTTCAGTGAAAAAGAGATTCCTTTACGTAAGGGGGCCATCCATAAATGACGTCACGCAAATTTTGACCACCCTCGTCACAAAAAGTTAGACACTCCCCCCCCAATATAACATCACGAATCTCTGCACCCCTTCCTCTTTTATAACAATAGCTTGTGTCTACTACTGTCATTTACATTTATTTTTTAAATTAAATATTTACCCTCCCCTCCCCTTTTTTACCCCCCCCCCCTTTTTCTCCCAGGTTCTCATGAGATAGATGACCATCCTCAGCTGGAAGGAATTGATTTATTTAAACGTCCCCAGCGTTGCCCAAAGAATCCAGACCACAAAGGGTTTATTCCTATCAACAAGTTTTCCTTACAAGACTTACCCAGCGCTTACAGGAAAGATGACATGTTTGAGCTGGTTAAATGCATAGCTGCGCTCACTGCCAGAATTGCTGTGAAATATGTCAGCGAAGACAGGCCGCAGAGTTACCCGGATAATGGCGCCCCTTTTCCTTTCTACGACCTGAGAGGGATGGATTTGACAAGGGCAGGCACAGGAAGGGTACAGTATGTCAGAAAATTTACCGAAAACCGCGACAAGAACTGTCCTTGCAATGAATGTACCGCCAATAACATATCTCGTAAGGTTTGGGGCGAGATTATCTTATACACAGCCAGGCATGTGGTGTTTGACGCGTTTGAGGCCATTAAGTCCGTTTGCAAACTTGAATACGACACTTCAGATAGCGCAGGTATAGACCTAGAGGTTTACTATGGGGACCCAGGGAAAGTCTTGGAGGACAGATGCAGGCTGATGTGCGCAACACATGACATGGATCTGGTCGGCAGGCTGACGTCAACTGTTGAGCGCTGTGACGAGCTGTTCAGGAAATTGTTTGATGGGAGCGCACTCTCGCGAAAACAGAATCGGTTGGCGGTGATTGTCTCCCATCCCCACGGCTGCTCCAAGCACGTGTCCGTCGGAGAGTGGACACACGTGCTCGAGCTAGGAAAATCCAAAACGAGGTATGTCTATAATAACTGCACGTGCCCAGGAAGCAGTGGGGCACCTGTCTACATCCTGGGTAAGGAGTGCTGGAAATATGACCATGTTCACAGTGGCTCTAGCACTTTGGGGAATTTTAGTGCATCCGAGTCAGATTACCTAAACTCTAAATTCTTTCTTTAAGCCAGCAAGTTGTTCATCTAGTTTCCACCTCTTATAATCTTTCTTTATTCTACGATTTAATGCTCTGAAAAATCCAAGTGTAACAACAGAAAGGTCATGGATAATTTCTTCTTTTCTAATTAGTCTTTTACAATATAATTAAATGTTATATTGTTTTTGTGCCTGGATTTGCCATGAAACACAAAGAATTTACTGGTATTTATGTGCAGGTTAGGTGGTTGAATAGGGTAGGTGCTTTAAATTCAGACCCCAAGGGGGTGTCCATTGTTCATAAATTACGTCATATATATTTTTAAATAAATCTTTCACCCCCCTTTCCCTCCCCATTTTCAAAAACTTTCAGTCTCCCCTAATAATTAATGATGTTAAATTCACTCACTGGGGTGAGATTAACTTATACTTGAATTTCAGTTTATCTATTCTGTATTTTGAAAAAAAACCACAGTGAACTAATAGCAAAATTAAATAAATTTAGTTTTTCAAAAAAACAACACTTTTTTATTTTAAAATAAAAAAAATCTGAATGAACCAAAGGGGAATTAGCACAAAAGCAGAATTACTAAAAAGTTTGGTCAAAATATACAGTGTCAAACAAATAAGAGTAATACTGGAGTCATCAATTAAATTAAAAAAATAAATAAATTAATGAAACAAATCATAAGAAATTCATAATAGTTTTCTAATCACTGTCTAAAAGCTAGATTAGGTAAAGAAACATTCTTTAAAAAAAAATATATATATGTACCGGTAACGAATAATTATTTTGCAGTAACTGTAACAGCCCCCTCAACCCTCTTAATTAAGTGAATAAAAAAACAACCTTGCATCCAATCTCCAGAAGATTAACAGCAATGTGGTAATTTTCCAAAAATCGAAATCATAATTCCTAGGATGGTTGCATTTAAATAACTTAAACATGCTATTTGTGTGTGTGTGCTGGGGCCTCGTGTCAATTCCTTCATTTTCTATTGCATTTTTATCATTGATCATTCTCAGGCTTAAGTTAAATTCTAATTTGTATACACAAGAGCTTTCTCTCGGGAAGCATGCTTTAAGTAAAAAAAATAAATACATTTTCTTTATTTTGTTTTGTGGTTTATCAAGATTGTATAAAATTGTTTATATTAAAAACCAAGCTGGAAATTCTGGAGTTTTGACTAAATCAAATGTTGAAAGCCAATCACCAAAATTTCAAAATGTGATGCTAAAAAATTTTTTTTTTTTAAAAAGGCATAAGAATAAAAATCTTTTGTAACATCATGGTCTAAATTAATTTGAGAGATGTTGTAATTTTCCCAAACCCACTTCACAGAATTGCTACACATCTCAGTGAACAAATACATGCTTTTTAATTTTTACATAAATCTATAACATCTATAACGTAGTATATGAAAAACATACAAAAAGATCCATTCAATAAATAATACATAATTAGAAAGAGCTAAATAAAAGGTTTGTAGTTTAATAGAAAGCTTAATTTTATTTTCCACTGTTAACACTGCAAGAAAAGAAAAGTTCACAATGGTTAATTAATACTGATAGAAGGAAACAAAATATGCAATTCCACTGAGTCAGCTAGATAAAGACATGACCACATCCTGGTTTAGAATAGAATTAAAAAAAAGAAAATAAAGGTGGCATATGTTTCATATAAAACTAGAAGAGATGAAATATACAAAGGAATCGAATTTCCGAGCTATCCTCTTTTAAAAATAAATCATTATTCTAATTCTAATAGATATTTTATGAGAATCTGACAGCAATCTTAAGATTAAAGATAAGACACAGTTAATGGAAATACATAAATTGCTGGTTAACTGCACCATGGCTCGTCTTTCCAGAGTAAAGGCCTCTCATTTCTAAATGTACTGTAATAAAATTACTAAACAAATATTTTCTTTTAGAATCTCATGGTTAGAATGTGGTCATTTTCAGTTTTTACAATGTCAGAAACAAATGTATTGAAACACAATTTTAGATAAACTGGACTAGATATTAATAACTAGTTGATATCATTACAATTATTCCAATTCATGTTTTTTTTTTTTTAAGTCACTTCACAAATATTATTAATATTATCTAAGTTAAAGCACACTTTTGGAAGATATGCCAACACTATCCTTATGTGCACCCATTTAATACAGTACAATTTAAAATAGAACATTAACAAACTAACAACAAACAAAGCAACAAACAAAAAATTTCAATTAAAATAAACATCGAAACATTCAGCTGCATAAAATTAATGAGTAGATCAAATGTTCAGAAATATTAACATCCTTTTCTTTAGGGGGAAAAAAATAATTAAAAAATAAAATAAAATAAGAAGTCAAGATTTAATCAAATTTGTTACATTTTGAGAATCTCCATAAGAGTGCCCTTGCATACAAATCAACAAGTATTAATTAAATAATTTGCACTATTGAAAACTCATAGACAAGATTCAAATAAGTCTAAATGTATTGCAAACTTTGTTTAAATAAATAAATTTGATTATGAAAGGAAATGGTAATAAGCCATCGAATACTGTTTATAAAAAAAATAGTTTAATTTTAAAATATAAAATTAAGTTTGTAATCTAAGAAGTTAAAAAATATACCAGTTCACATACTTGTTTTGATGTGACAAAAGATGTATAACGTTTAAAATCTGTTTAAGTTACAGCCAAAAATTGGTTGAATTAACTTCCATCCTGAAAGAAAATGGTTAATTTGAATATGGTTAAAATGTTGCTTAAATCAAACATAGTGCGCAATATTTGTTTCACAAGTCAGCTGAAAACGTCATCAAGCAACAACTCTGAATACAGCTAAATAAAACCCATTAAAAAAAATTAAGTTGAGAACAAGAGTTAAAAAAATTGAAATAAAAAAAAAAAAATGTATCAATGAGGAAAAAAATTAAATGTGTTAACAGGTATTCTGAAAGATATCAATAAACAAGTGCATATCGCATTGATGCAGTTTTGTCACAGATTAGGTCAAATGCTAGTTCTGGTATCAAACTGTATCAAAATGAGTTGCTGATGACTTTGAAATAGATTTAAACTGCTGCTTTCTGATTATATAAAATATGCTAATCTGACCTTTTAATGTGGAATTGTTGGGAATGCAAAGTGACAAAAAAATATTTTTTTTATTTACAAATGAATAAATATTAAAGCTATACAATGCTGCGGCTAAAAATAATCTCATTATTAGCAGAGTTTTATTGTGATCATTACAAATAAATTGCATCCACAAAATTCCTTTGAATAAATTCTAACTAGTGATTCTAAACTCTACTTAAACCATATAGCCGCTCCTTAAAGTTAACAAAAATTTATTTGTCTTCCTCAATGTACTGGGACGTGACCATGAATTTTGAGACCATATAAGCCGAATCCGAGCCTGGGCACTACAGTTCAGGCGTTATTTATAGAAAACTAAAAATGTAACCATTTTTCATACATTGCACAATTGTCCATATTAATGTTACTAATTACTATTATCAAAATTGTCATTTTTTCATTTATAAATTAAATCAAGCAATTTTTACACAACAATTTTGAGAAAAACTTATTCAATGCAAACAAAAAGTGATTTCTATACACAAAAAGTGAAGGCAGCACCTTTATCTTGTCACAATGAACATGTTGAAATATTGATTTATCTCAATGGCACAAAATAGGAAAAAAAAAAAAAAGTCTTTAAAAGTGAAGGAATGCAAGCGAAATTTGTGACAAACATAAAAATAAATGAAACGCTGACAGAGAATACCATGACGTCAATCATGAATGAAGGCGGTGTCAGTACAAGAGTGCATAGAGCAGCAGTGATGATGTGTATGTGATACAGTGATAGCAAGCCACTTACATATGGCCTTGAACAGTCTTTGATTTTCTTTAAAAACATTATTTTACAATTGTACAATAAATGTTTAAAAATGTTGCTATACATTTCTATGAACTTGAATTTCTTTTTAAAAAATCTGAATATTAAGGGGCTATTGACAAATTCATAATTTTACATGCTGAAGCATAAAGAAATGTTTTTACAGAAATTTTAAATTGAAAACTAAATTATTTAAAATTATGATCAAATACCCTGTTGCTATAAACTGTGCAACTTATTTTTAAAAAAAAAATGTGTAAGCAGTAACAACTAATTCCACACAAATTGCTTAACAAAGCATTTCATTGATTTGGCAGTCAAAGAGAAACATTTTTATGCAAAATCTCTGCTACCAATAATAGCAGTTAAATAAAAGCAAGGAAAACAAGTTTCTAACATGGAGCTGAAAGTTTGTTACATAAACAACTATATAAAAACAAATTACTTGCCATGATGAGGCTCAAGGTAAGGAATTTTAAGATAATAAAATTGCTGTGTAAATCTAATGATTACATAACTTAATCATCTGTACAACACTTATTCACTAACAAACGTGGTGCATAGGCCTTTTGGGCAATTAACTGGTCTCGTTGAATGGATTGGCAATGGGTTTTAAAAACACGTTTTTCAAAAATGTCAACGTATTTAATTTCTTTTCCTTAATTTTAACTGGTTTAAACTTATTAAAAAGACATTAACAGATGTATTAAAAAAATGGGCCTCGGAAAATTGTTATGGTGAAAAACAAATGCAGTTTCTGTTCTTTCTAACCAAAAGTAACGTCTCACATTGCCACATTAATTTTGAACTATATTGCGGAGGAAAAAATTGAAGTTACTCCAAGGTAACTTGCTTGAATAAAGATGCTTAGGTCAAGATAGTTAATGATATGGGAGTTATTAATTATTCATTTAGATGACAAAACAGTTGATTTGATATGGGAGGTAATTTATGATAGACATTAGGCTGAGCGGTGGGGCAGCTCTTCTTTTTGAGCTTACATCTACCTTTTAATTCAGAAGATATATATACACATTGGCTCCGCTGCTCTCCAAAATGTCAATTTAGGTCAGTGGTTCCCAGTATTTTTGACTTACTGAGACATTCTTTAGAATCACTTTGTATTGAGGGAAGCTGGTCAGGCTTACTCTGTTTGACAAGTTGATATTGCTCAGAAGTTTCCTAGACCCAACATGAAACACTTGAGAAGTGCACGAGGAGCCCTTTGGACTCTGCAGAGCACAGGTTGGGAACCACTGATCTAGATCACGAGGTTAAAACTCTATATCTAAAGTGTCTTTGTAGAAATTTTCAAGGATGTGTAAAAAAACAAACAATGAGCTCCCTAAAATATGGAGGTATTTGAATTACAGCCAAAATACAATTTTCTAAATTTTAAGGTTTAGTGCACACTTCTGCGCCAAGCAAAATGGAATTTTTATTTTAAAAAAAAACAAAACAAAAAAACAAAACAAAAAAACCCAACAACTGGGGAAGCCCTGACCAAAGTCACATTTTGTAACAAAATAAATCTGATCTCAACAATGTACAAGACAAAACCTGACAAAAATGTGATCTAGACAAGGTATATGATAAACCCTGACAAAACTGTGCCATTTTTATTTTTTGAAGCAGTGATGATTTATCCAAGTATTGAGAACAATATTTTTTCAACGACATGGACAACTTTCTCTGGTATAAATGGACGACAGCGAGCCAAGATCTGTGGATATACAACAGGACAATCAAAAAACAACACATACAATAGGACAATCATTAAAAAAAAACCCCAAACAATTACAACAGGAAACTCATGAAATAAAACATAGAGCAAGACAATCAGGAAACAACACATACAGCGAGACAGTCATGAAGCAACACATTCAACTAAAAAGATATTTTCAAAAGCCATAAAATTAGCTGCCTCATTTTTTTTCTTCCAATGTAGTATTTCAGTTTTTAAATATGTAACGGATCAAAATATGGAGACCAAAATCGTAAACTAAACTATGTTTGTGTCCACTACCCACCTGGGGTTTGTTTAAATTTTGTGGAGCTTTGAGAGAACAATAGTCCCTAACTCAAACTTTAAATTTCATATGCATTTCATGATTAAAAAAACAACAACCAGACTGCAATTTTGAATTGTTTCTGTTTTTTAAATATATCTGGTTACATCCTCATAAAACCGTACCTCATTTATGCTAGTCTGCAGCAGCCTACTCATCATATCACACAGCCCTGGAATAGATACGACACGAGACTTACTATTAAAGGATCCAGGCACTGCCTCTTGAAACCATGGATCAAGTAGCACCTCTTGGGGTCTGCGTTAAGGACAGCGTCGATGTACACACTAACAACTGGCTCACAGGAGCTGCACGATTTCTTCACGGCGGCCTCTATCCTTGCACTGATGTCAGTCACAGATTCCTTGGTGTAGGCCTCCTGCTGCTCCTGTAGGGACAGTGCTGAGCGGGACTGCAAGAGTTTCTCTATCAGCTGTTCATTCTGAACAAGTAATGGATAAGTCATTGGATCCTACAGAAATCTCTGACAAATGAATGGTAAATTTTAAATTTTTGCTCAGAATATTTTAAAAAAAGGAATGATGAACCACAATGGCCCAGGGGAAGATCTGACTTAAAAATTCATTTGTTTAAATAAGTGTTATCCTCCTGGTTTGTTCCATTAAGTTTCAAACAAGGCAATGCAAGGTAGGGCTTGAACTTTGGCCTCTAGCCTGATTGACTTGTTCCCCTGGCTGCTCAAAATGGAAATTGACTTTTGTTACCTGGATTGTTAACGTGCCTGTTAAAAAAATTTCTGTATCAATCAATGGAGATTAGACTTGAAGAGTTTATTACCGGTATTAGATATCTCTGTTTGAAAATTTGGGGAAAAGCAATTTTCAATGTGAGATTAAAAAAAGATAATTTTGAAACTGCTGACTTAATGGGTCATATTTTTAATATTAAATATTAACATTACCATTTTTTGCTTGGCAATACTGGTGGCTCCAGCAAACTCGCCTGGCGCCACAGTGATTACTTTGACTTTGAAAACTTCCATCTCTCTGCGCAGGCAGGCTGAGAACGCTTCGAGGCCAAACTTTGTTGCACAGTAAGGTGAGCTGTCCTTCCAAGGGTTAAAACCCCTTTCACTGGTAACATTGACAATTCTTCCTGTGAAAAATGAAGCAATATTTAAAATTTTAACCCACAGATACAGTGACCGATGTTAATTTTTTTTTTACATTACCAAACATTTGCAATTATAAAATGGACAAGCGCCTTCTGGTAGGCATTCAAAACGAAAATAAAAATCATAAATTTTACAGCAAAGAGTGTCGTCAAGGTTGAATGGCATGACGGATATTTTCAGACTACCTTGAAGCATTCTGTCATATTCAAAGCAGAATTTCTTAAAATGCCAGGTAAGTCTTGGACCTTGTTACTAGCTGTCAAAGTAAATCTTAAGAGATAAGCAAAGGACAGATTAAGTGTCAGGAAGCTCCTCTGCTAGCTGGTTAAAACAGTCAGATTACCCAATTAGAATGCATCCTGCCTCCATGATTGAGTCCCCATTTCTTAGGACGGTTTTGATGGTGCTAAAACATCGTTCAATGTAACTAGCATTGGTCCAAGGGTGTACAAAGACAGTTTCTTTCATAAAGTGCCACATAAGAAGGTACATTGACTATATAGTTACACCTACCAGATTGGCATTAAGTCCCATAATTAACAAGATAGTAAGTAATGCATGAAAAATTGATGAAAAAAACTTAACAAATTTAAGCGTTAAGCTTTTAATTTAAAAATGTTAATTTTGTTCAAAAAGAGTGACACATACAAAAACAAAATTTTGAAACATAAGACATTACATAAAATTCTTTTTAATAGTAATTTAATTATGTCTCTAGATAAAATACTTACAATATTTTTAAATGATGTTGGTAGACATACACAATTTTTTATGTTACTAATTTCCAAATAAAATTAATTTGAAATTAAGAATTATTAAAAATGGTTGCAAATGACTCTTTCCATTTCCATCATTGTATACAAACCTTCAGCTTGTCTAATCAAGGGGAGGACTGACTTAATAACTCTGATGGCACCGAACAGATTCACCTCAGCACACCTGTGAAACATCTCCATGGTGACCAGCTCAGCAGGGCCCATGCAATTTATGCCAGCATTGTTAATAACAGCCCACAGGCCTAGCAAAAGGAAAAACAGAATGTGTATAGTTAAATAGGGAGAATGATAAGCTGCGCAAAAGTATCAGTTATTTGTTTTGCATAACAACTTGAGAATAAGTTAAAATGTTAATTGAGGTTATAAAAAGCTTATTAAAAAAATCCTCAACAGGAACTAACTAACTTATCTTGGGTGCTGTAATTAGTGTATATTCACCTGGTACTTTAAACTTAAGCAAAGTTTTTTTGGTCAGACAATTTAAATTCCACCCACTACCTCTTTGGTGTAAGGCTACAGTCTCAACATTACACTATAAGGTATAATAGAGAAGGTAATGAGACTGCTCCAAGTCACAAAAATTAAAACCTGTGTATAAAACCTGTAAATGCAACTTCTAAATTTAACTTAAAATAACATTTTGTTTTACTACCTTGATCACGGCAGATGTCCTTGACCTCTCTAGCACATGCTAGTACACTGGCTTCATTAGACACGTCTAGGATGACAACTTCAATTTTTTTTACCCATGGCCTGGCCTTCAGTTCTATAGCACCTGGACTGTTGTCATCAAGGCAACCGGCAATAACGCCAAAGCCCAGATCTCGAATGGCTTTTGCTGCTTCTAAACCAAATCCTGGTTACAAAAAGAGAAAAAAAAATTATTAATAGAAAATAACAGTCACTTTTGAATTAAACCAGATAATCTCATACCCATGATTAACTTTAAATTAGTTTATATTTGATTGTATATCCTTCAGTAAATTTATACATTTAATAAACTTGAATTTATTCACAACAAATTACATAGCCACACACACCCCAATTTGAAAAGAAAAATACAAGTACATGATAAATGATAGGCAAGAAAAATACAAACCGGAGTCGCATCCTGTTATATAAACATATTTCCCCTGAGGATCCAAACAGTCTCTGGTGTAAGCCTTGATATGGTCATAGGCGTACCAAAAAGTCAGGGCTAGTATGGTTAGAACTAAGATGTCATAGATGTAGAAGTAGATTACTAGAGCTCCAATCAAGTATAATGATATAAGTAAAAGCAACCTCTGTTTTCTTTGGTCCCCCAAGGCTTGGGCAATTACAGTTGAACTTAAATTCGCCATGTAAGTTGCAAGTAAACTTCAGCAGTTATCAGTATCTGTAGCAGAAGTTTAAAAAATATTAATAAATCCTAAGCTCATATAGTGCTTAATATAATCAATCATCATATACTGCAAATTTATAGATAAAAACTACAATGTCAGAGTCCACTGTTAAATATTAAGAACTTTAACTCTAGTTTGGTAATTTTAAAAACTATTCCAATTTAGTAATTGCTAGATAAATAATAATAGACTAATAGAATTGGCGGACTGTCTGCATACTATGGTACAGAGAATTATCTTTTCTTGGAATCACAATTGGAAATACACTCTCCCCAATCTTTGATAAATGCCTCAGAAGGCACTATATGAATGCTTCTTGAGAGTACAGGTACCAATCATCAATGCCATATTCTGTATAATCCAAATTTACCTAATGGTAATACTGAGTTTTACAGTGAGTAGTAGTTGTAAGTTGTAGCTGTAGGCTTGTAGGACCTAATTAATATAAATTAACTAATTATTACTAGTAATATTATGCTAATAAAATAGCTGTCTTTGGACTAGTCATAATATAGCCTATTCTGGCCCACTGACACTGGCCATAGTAGTATGGCATGCCATGGCATGGTCAATACTATGCCTTCTTTTTTAAAACCATTCATTGCTAATGATTAGCCTATTATTATTAATATTAGTTTAGTCTAAACTTTAGAGCAGAGCTCAACAAAAGTGAGATGGTGCCCAGTGCCATGCAAAAAGACTCCAAGAGGAGGAAAGCACTGAGTATAAATAGTACGTAAATAAATATGATAAAGTGAAATTGGTTAGCCTATTTTTACTATTACTATCAAAAAGCTGTAATAGTCTACTTAAATACTTAAAGTATAAAATGGAAAGCTAATGGATAAGGCCTAAGGCTAATATCAATTTCACAATAATGACAATTACTATCAGTTAATGATTTAAATTTAAACATTACTAATTACTAATACTAAGCCTAATAGAAGAATACTTTTAAAAAAAAACACAATCCATATACCCCTCTCTGCATCTACTAATAGTAGTCTACTATACTATGTTCTATAATATCTGCGACTATCTTTTATTTCTCATCATACCTATGGGTTAAAGACTGGCGGAGCACCATGCTCCGTAATGACTTTTTTAAATGACTTTATGAGTCAGTACCTTGTTACTGTACTTACAGCTTACAGTGTATTACTGTGGACAGTGTGGACCGTGGAGTTGGTCGACTTGTATTACAGTTACATTCATTACAGTTACAGTGTAGTGTAAGTACTGTCTACTGTCTCGGCTCGCATTTAAATTATTCCTGAATGAGAACAATACTAACTCAAAGCAGATATAATAATTACATAAAATGAATATTTAAGTCAAGTTTTCTGAAACACATACGTTATAAGAAAACCTATAATATCTTTAATTAGCATAGGGCTAATCGTTATCCCGAAGTAAAAAAACTTGATGTAGTCATTGATATGGGTCAAAGGCCATAGGAACTCTTATACAAGGAAAACATTATTATACATTTTTTATAAATGTTGGACCAGATTTGAAAAAGCACAACTAATTTATTAAATACATTTTTTTAAGAGGTCATTTTACGAGGGCACATCAAGGAGCATCAAATTATGTTTGAAAAAATAAGGCATATCACATACCTGTTTACCCTCAAACTCTTAAAATCGTACAATATCATCACAAAATCGTTCAATAAATTATCATAATAGTAAACAAATAAACATGCAGTATATATTATAATGTATACACCTCAAAATCGTACATTGTACGCCAAAATCGTAAGAGTAAACAGGTCTGCTATCATAATTTTGAGAATTGAAATTCACCAAGTGCATAACTAGCCGGGGAAAGGTAGTAAGCTCTGGGCGTACATTTTGTTAGTGTTTATAATACTTTTACCAGGACTTATGTATAGGCTACATTATAAAGGTAAAGTAGAGAAGTGTGTTTGGATGCTCAGTTTGGGGCAATCTATAATTTTATTATGTTACGCCAAAACAACTAAGTTAGAAGGGGTTTGCTGTAGAGATGGGATTTGGAATCGAACCCGTACTGAACACACCAAACTCGAGCGAACCATAACCAAAACCGAATTTCAAGGCCACTGAGAACGAGCCGAAAGAACCTATCGTAAAAAAAAAAAATAAAAAAAAAAATAAAAAAAAAACTTAAGTAAAAAGAACCGAAAATGTTTAAGATCAACACTCTCTACTGTAACAGAACAAAAAATTATTTTACATAAAACTATAAAACCAATTACAGTAGGAATTTATATAATTACAACTGAATGATGTCTTTTAAAAAAAAATCCTTTCCTAGGGGCCACCCATAAAGTACGTCACGCTATTTTTTTTACCATTTTTAACCCCCCCCCCTTTCCCGGTGAGAAAATTTCTGAAAGAAACACTGCTGTCAAAGAAGGCATACTAAGAATACAAACAACCTCTTGAAATTTCAGTTGCCATGGCCATGACGGATTTGAATTTATCGCTGTTCCTAGAAGGTAGGCTACATTTTAAATTTAATGACTTTAATTGTTGATATTTAAAACAAAGCTTACAGGCCCCTAATTCATTGTTTTTTTTCCGGCTCAACAGACACTAATCCATTTAAATAATTTACGCAATAGTTGTAAGGTGTTGCAAAAATGATGAATGAATAAGGCAGTCATAAACCATAAATAATATTTATTTGGGTTTTGCGGCTCTTACATAAATGCCTTGAACAATGTAGGGCGCAATCACTTAATTAATGTTATTTAATCTCCCAACAAAACCCAGATTAGGGATGTACCCAACGCTTGCTCATATATTCTATAGCTCATCAATTTATTTTTCTTCACCCTTTTGATGTCTTTAAGTAGAATTCACCATTTTATAATTATGTTCCCTCCCTGTTCAATGTAAAAATAAATAAAAATAGAAACAAAAAAAAGCTGTCATTACTAGATGCCTACCCAAAATAAAAAGGGTCGTTAAACCAACTCTTAAAATAACATGATTACATTTTGAATTCAATTTCAGTGAAAAAGAGATTCCTTTACGTAAGGGGGCCATCCATAAATGACGTCACGCAAATTTTGACCACCCTCGTCACAAAAAGTTAGACACTCCCCCCCCAATATAACATCACGAATCTCTGCACCCCTTCCTCTTTTATAACAATAGCTTGTGTCTACTACTGTCATTTACATTTATTTTTTAAATGAAATATTTACCCTCCCCTCCCCTTTTTTACCCCCCCCCCTTTTTCTCCCAGGTTCTCATGAGATAGATGACCATCCTCAGCTGGAAGGAATAACCACCACAAAATTCGCACCCCCCCCCCCCCCAAAGTACGTCACACTTTCGAACAAATTTTAAAAAAAATTAACACCTAATTAAAATTTAATCTAAAACACACTTCACTATTAAACTGTATTAAAATATAAAATTTCCACTTAATTTCCACTATCAAATTATTAAAATGACTTTAATAGTAGAATAGTTAATTGTTAACAGTTGTCACAGTTATTCATTGACACAGTAACTCAATCTAGATTGAATTTGAAAAAAAAAAATTCAAAAATTAGACTAGACAATTATATCATACTCATACACTTCATTTATCTGCTGCTTTTTCATTTACAATAGGTGAGGTCAAGTTTTAGATAATCTTCCGATTAAGCAATATTTTTACACAGGTTAAGAAGTATATTAGAGAAACTTGACCTCACCAAATGATTAAATATTAAAAAGGATAGTGACATAATTATGCAGCGGACAACATAGAAATAATAATACTTCAGACATGACGAAAGCAATGCTATACATAAAACAAGGCTTCGCAACAGCATACTAGCGCTCCTAGCGATAGGAATCGTGAACAACACATTCAGGAGTTAAGCATTTTATGTTATTTTGAAATAAAACTAATTCAAATGATTCACAAAATTTTAGAAAATTATTTTTAAAGCTATTAAATTCCACTAAAAAAATAAAAAAAATAAATTAGAAATAAAATTAAAAAAAAAATAAATGTGTGACGTCACACATGGCCTGACCCCCCCCCCCCCCACTCACAAACTGTCACACTTTCTTATACCCCTCCCCCCTCCCTCTGGAGCGTGACGTACTTTATGGACGGCCCCCTACCCCTCTACCTCGCCAACATTAACACCCTTTCGCACATAGTTTTGATCATTGATAGGCGTGACAAATAAAACAAAGACACTCGTTAGCCGACTCTTCCCATGCCAGTTACCTGTTTTGTTCGAAAACAGCTACTTGTATCCTTACAAAAAAAAAACAACAAACAAACTATTACAATTGTGTATTAATCGAATGCACAGTGAGTAAAAGAAGTCACAGCGAGCATTCTAGGTTGAGAAGATTGATAAGCTGTTTCGAATCGCCCTGCCAATACGTTTGAATAAGCTTAAACCATAAAACCCACATAAAGGTTTTATGTTTCCTCATTAAATCCCTCAGAAATTAACATCGCTCTTGTTCGTGTGTTCCTGGCTGGAAAAATCTTCGGACGACTAATTGACCCACTTCCAGTCAACCTATTGAGCTGAAACGTGAAAATGGTAACATGGGGAGAGACTGCAGTGGGGTTAGAAAAAATGGAAATGAGCGAAACAAAGGATGGCAAAAAAAAAAACAAAAACAACAACAACAACAAACAACAAAACAATGAACGTGTCGACAAGAAGCCTTCACCAGCGAGCAAACAACAGTAAAAACAGAATTAAATTAAAATAAAACTTAGCTGAAATGTAGCATCCGAGAAATGTTGTACCACCACCCCACCCCCCTCTCCACAATCCCCCGATCTTTTCAAATGTTTGCGACGCTCTGTAGATCAGAGAATTAAAAGTTTCTGGTAACGTGTTCAACAAAACTTCACAAACTCAAGAAATGTTCATGATATCCCCCCCCCCCCCCCCCCCACAACCCCCCCTTTTTTTTTTTTTT